CCCCTGATCCGTCCACCAATGAATGCCATATATTATATCTACATCTATCCCCGATTAAGAATTAAAATGCAGATGCGTTGTCACCTCTGAGGACACAGATGAAACACCTCGTTTTCAGTAAAAAGGGTCTCCGGTGTTCAACATTCACCATATGAAACATAGCAGCATTAAGCTTCTATTGTACGCTAGTATTCTGCCGCTTTAGCTCGGGTTAAAGGCTCGCTGTAAATTTCACAGTACGTGGGCAGCCCAGGTTCAATCCCCCTCCGGCATCCATGAAATTGTTAATTGCAATTTTATGTGCTGATTTATTACGTGCTCAGCGGTGAATGTAAATATCATGAGGAATACCTGCAATGTCCGAGAAATAAGAAAACATATTTCGATGACACGTGAGCAAACACGCAGTGCAGCGGACATTTCTTTACCCTAATACCCTATCAGAAACGAAAAGAGGCCTCCATCTTGCAGTGGGACGTACATAGGCTGAGCTTTAACTTTTTAAACTTTATTTTGTAAGAGCGTGGTCCTTCTCCAGTCACGAAAGGCGATTTTACTCCATAAAACCTTTACGCCACTTTCAGTTCAGTCTGTATTTGATAACGAGAATCCGAGGCGGTTCACACGCAAATAGAGAAATACCCGTTATTCGCTTTACTTCAATATTCTGTGTTATTCCATATTACCGTTTTATTGGTTTCTCCATAGTGTGCTCATTTTGATAATTTGTAAACTTACTATTTTATTGGACGACTTTATGTGGATTTAAGAAAAGATGCACTCATCGTATAGAATGAAATAATTTTATTAATTAAACGTTATTCTTGAAGAAAGATATTTTACTTTTACCACCGATTTGGAAAGAAAACTTCTGTCCTGAGAAGAACTAGCTAAAAACCCAGCGAGTCGTTTATTCCACACCAACGTTATACAGTATACAGTAAAGTAATATTATAGCCTATATATTTCCCACTGCTGGACGCAGGCAAGTGTCCGTCGTGCTGTCCCAATGCGTGTAGACGGACTTCACATATCTACGAATTTTTTTCTCAAATTTGCAGGTTTCCTGACAATGTTTTCCTTCGCCGCCGAGCATGTGGTAAATCAGCACTTAAAATTGCAATTAATAATTTCATTGATGCCGACGGGGATCGAACCTGAGTCGCTCGTGTACTGTGAAATTTACAGCGAGCGCTAAGCCCCTGAGCTACCACGACTCTCGGTTGTATAATTATTTACAATTATTATAGTTTAATAAGAAACTTTTTCCCCCCAGTAAATTATATAATATATAATAGAATGCATTATTTGCAATTATTATGATAAATTAAGTACACCTTTATATAATAATGGCACCTTTGATCGACTTGGCTTTCCCGAGTTTAACGCTATATTCCTCTAAACTACCAAAACTCAATCACAAGTGCGCGCAAAACGCAAACATAAATGAATTATCTGTTCCGTTCCTCTCATATTCCGATTGACCGGCAATCCGACACGACCGCATTTACGTGGTTTCCGAGTCACAAGTCTGATTTGAGGGCGAGGGCCATTCCATTCCAAATTTTTTGATAAACAATCAAATCTTGTAACTTTATTTAAAAATTAAAAAGGAGCGAACCATCGTAAATTAGTGGCTAAGCGCTCGTGTTGAATTACAAAGAACGCAATGAACTTGAATTTAAAATCTTTAATTTCAATTTTTAATGCTGATTTACCAGGAAATTATCATGATAATATAATACATTATGTCCGCCGAACTAGCAATGGAGCTGCGAGGCGGACCAATCGCTCCATAATCTTTTCAGAACTTAGATAAGGCCTCCCACCATCGGGACGTATACAGACAGAGATAGAGAACTTTACATTGCTTTTTGTATTTAGTTGTTAAACTAAAGTGGATTGTTCTTTTGTACAATGAAGTTGTTCTCGTAACAATTGATGCAATTTCTCTCTGACGATTCAGCATTGTCCTGATTAATTTTAAGAAGAAACAGGTCCCGCCCCCTGTCTTCCTCAGGGACAAGGCGCAATTTACTAGACTTTCTAAAGTCTGTTACGACGCAGACTTTAAATATAACCAAGCCACCAACCTTGGCGAATCAATTAAAATCTTTCCGCAGTCTATGGAAGTATAGAAAAGAAACGCAGTCAGATTAATTGGCACTATACCGAGGGAAGTAGGTCTGTATGATATTTTAAGTTTTTAGTTTTATTTTTTATTTAATATGGTAATTAACATTGTATATTAAATAATACAAAAAATACAGTCAAATTGGGTAACTCCTCCAATTTTTTAGTCAACTTAAAACAAATTTGTTTATTTTAACATATTTAATAGAATTACTCATTCGAGTACGTACATTGATGCTTATAAATGAAACCACAGAGGTAAATATGTTAAATCTTTGTTTTCCAGGTCGCCTTAAACAACAGATTTTACGATTGTCTCGAAAGATCCTTTTCTACCCGATAGTATAAAGAAATAATAAAGGCTACCCTTGCAAGAGTTTTCCATTTTTATAATATGCAAATTTAATGCGTGAGGTACATTTTAAAAGATTTGGATAAAGCTTTTATTTGAAAATTAAGGAATAAAAGAGAATGACCATAGATGTATGGAATCTCGTACCAAGTTGCATCAAAATCAAACTTTGTTTTTTATTGACTACACTAATCCTATTAACTCCTACAAAAGTCGTTTTTGAAAAAAAAACCCGGGTTTTGGAGTTATTTTACAAAATCGAAAATAACCTAAAAACCATTACGTCACTTTTTCGATGCTACCAACGACCTATTTTAAATTGACACTTTAAACATGGACAAACATTATTGCTCTAAAAACCAATAATATTAATAATCCATTAATATTTGTAAGAATTACATTTATTATGGATTACTTTGTGTTAATTGTGACTGAAACTCGGATATTTGCCCGACCTTTATACATATTGCCAATACTGTGAGTGGGTAACGTATCTAAAGGTAATATATATATAATTGGACGTCACCGCGATTACACTACCACACCAATATCAATAATACATCATCATAAGTGTGATCATCCAGACCGAAAAAAGCTCATTGAGTCTAGAGCGTCTTTAACCTTTTAATCTAAGATATAATACTATTCATGACAGACACTATTGCTCAAGCTCATGTTGTTGTGAATCGATTAGGTAAGTGATAGAAAAAATAAAACAAACAAGTCCATTTGGGTTTTTAATAGCGATTTAAAGTCAAAAATAGTTATTTAAAATATATTTACTTTAATCATTCATCATACTCCTGAAAAAAATCATCTAAAGCCGTTCCCGGCGCAGTTACGTCATTATACAGTCCCCAGCTCAAATACCACACTATCGTCATTATATGAGCATAGCAGCCTACTGTTCGTTTACCGACAAGGCAGCTGCAACAATAACCTACTATGGTTTCTAAAGTGTTGGCCACAGCATCATCTCTGCTAATCAATAAATATGTGTGATAAGTACGACTATTGACATGTCTGGATTTAATCCTACCTCTTAAGTGGTAATTATTAAGCCCCAAAATCATCATCGATAGTATTATTCACCTCAACTGAATAAATACCAGTCGACGGATGTGTTCCCCATAATAAGATCTAGCCTGTTTAAGTTGGTAAGTCCCAAGAGCTAACCGTTTTAAATCAGTTATTGTCAATTGTGGAAATCCATCTAAATGTGGACTATTGCTGTCAATCAACTGAAAATTCACACTCCTTCTATTGAGATTTGCCTGTTCAACATAAGTTGCCAAATGGTTCTCTAGTGAAAGCCTATCCTTAGCAATTCTTACATATTCCATGGCTTCTGGTGGGTCTTCTATAACAACATGAAACTTATTAATTAGGGCACATGAGATTCTAAAATCATCCTTTAGGTGCAAAACCGCTCTATTGTTAAAAACATGACGAAAGCGTCTAAAATCCCTTTTCGACCTACCATTAACCACTTCTACAACCCAGCGGCACATAGTAACAAAACGAGACTGATTTGCCTGCTGGGTTGTTAATTGATGTTCATTCTCAAGTAGAGACTCTGGCATATGTGTTACAAAGCCATATCCCTGGAGTTCATTAATTACATCCCTAAATCCTCTATCAAGTACGAAAACGTCACCTCTTCGGAAAAATGATCTTAAAGAAGCTTCCTCATTACGTAAGTTTAAACTAGTAATTGTAGCATCATTAGTTGTCGCCTTGTATGGTCCGAGACAATCCACAATATGACCATCACAACACACTATCATAAATGGTTTGACCAAATTATCCAGTTTTTGCAAACTGTATGTTTGTTTTTGAAATAATTAATTAGAACTACTTTGGATAAATACATAAGTAGCATCACATATGACTATTGCTGGTTTAGAATTAGGTGGCAAATCAGGATTACCAAATAATCCTTCTGGTATTATTCTATTTCTAGAAGCAACATCTTCAACATTCATATGATTAAATCCTAAATACAATGGAACAAACTCATTAATTAAACATGTTCTGACCTTATTCATTAAGCGTTCTAAGGTGACACGATGTTTTATTAAAGAGAGTTGCCAACCTTTCATTACTATCACCAGTTCTAAGCTTTACTAAGTAAATGCTTAAAGCAACCGTGGCATTTGGTACTTGTCCTGCTAGACTTGGTATACAGTTTAACAAATCATAAAACTGATCCGAGTTCATGCCTAACCAAAAGTGACACAAATATGTAGGCATAATTAAAATATTTTAGAAATCTATATGGTAATAGGCAGCTCGCTGCATTATTCTCATAATTGAGTCGAATTGACTACCAGTAAAATCTTTTAGCTGGGAAGTTAATTCGCTCCAACGGCCATGATTCAGGTGGTGACGACAGATTCGTGCTGCTGGTGGCACATAGAATTTATTATTAAGTAATAACAGATCTTTTATAGATGAGGGTACTAGTAAACGTTCTGTTTCAAAACAATTAACAAATATACAGTGATTGGATGTGCTAGCGCTTATACACTGAAAACATAATTGTTGGATTTGATCTAATATGAGTAGTGTGTAGGTTTTGTTGTGGAAGAGGGGGCGGCTCAGGAATATTGAGATCGCTACTTGATCCGATTGGATCTTTGCGATGCGGACTTGATCGATTGGAGTCTTGCTGATCACGACATTGCAATTCTCTTGTAGCTGATCTCCAGCAAGCAGCACATACTCTTTCCAATCTTGAGATCTAAAAATAACACAATTAAACATTTCACAATGGGATATAAACTTCATAAAAGTGTGTATTGTAATGTGATGTAAATGTTAGGGATACATTTTTTATAAGATAGGGTGATAAACGAGCATAAAGTCCACCTGATGGTAATTAGTATTTTCTGTGGCCCATAGACATCTACATCTATTCTCAATTACAAATCAAAATGCAGAAGCATTGTCACCCCTGAGAACTATGATGGAATGCCTTGTTCCCAGTAAAAAGGATCTCTGGTTCTTTACACCCACTATACGAAACACAGCAGCAATAAGCTGCTATTTCACGATGGTATTCTGTGAGAGCATGGTCCTTACCCACTCGAGCCGACCCATTGATGCTACAAATATACTACTAATATAGTTAATATACTACTAATTTAGTTGCAGGATGGCTCTCCACATATGATAATGATCAGGCAATCATCACAGCCCTTCACAAGTCCACTGCTGAACATAGGCCTCCCCCAAGTAATGCCACAAAGCACGGTCCTGAGCCACCTGCATCCATCGACTTCCTGCATATCTTACCAGGTCGTCACTCCATCTAGTGGGGGGTCGCCCTACACTACGCCTACCGGCACGAGGCTGCCACTCGAGAACCTTTCTTCCCCATCGGTTATCGGTTCTTCGAGCTATATGGCCGGCCCATTGCCACTTCAGCTTACTAATCCGTTGGGCTGTGTCGGTCACTCTGGTTTTACTGCGGATATCCTCATTTCTGAGTCTATCACGCAGTGAAACTCCGAGCATAGCCCTCTCCATAGCTCGCTGAGCGACCTTGAGCGTTCTCATACGGCCAGCGGTGAAGGACCACGTCTCAGATCCGTAAGTGATCACTGGCAACACGCACTGATTGTACACTTTAGTTTTCAGAGATTGAGGTATACCTGACGAGAAGATGTGTCGTAATTTCCCGAACGCTGCCCAGCCGAGTTGAATCCGTCGATTGACCTCTCGGTCGAAGTTGGACTTACCTAGTCGAAGTCGGACTATTTGTCCCAGGTAAACGTACTCGTCAACAACTTCGAGCATAGTGCTCCCAACAACTACCGGCATAGGTGTGACATGGACATTAAACATGATCTTTGTTTTATCCATGTTCATCTTAAGACCTATCCGTTGGGAGGCACTATTGAGGTCATTGAGCATAGTGCTTAAGTCCTCCAGCGATTCTGCCATAAGGACTATATCGTCGGCAAATCGAAGGTGAGTGATGTACTCGCCATTGATGTTAATACCGTATCCTTTCCAGTCCAGTAGCTTGAAAACGTCTTCCAAAGCAGCGGTGAAGAGTTTCGGGGATATAACGTCACCCTGCCTTACACCTCTCTACAGTTGGATAGGTTTCGAGCTCTGGTTCTGTACTCGGATAGCCATCGTAGCCCTACTGTACAAACATTTCAGCACTTCGATATACCGACAGTCAACTTGGCACCGCTGAAGGGACTGCAGCACCGCCCAAATTTCGACGGAATCAAAGGCTTTCTCATAGTCCACATACGCCAGGCAAAGTGGCAAATTGTACTCTTCAGTACAATACAACAAGATAATACAACAGATCAGGCAATAACTGTGTTAAAATAGATAATATTATCTAATACCCACAACATTATTTATTTGTGAAACCTTCACTTATTGGGACTCAATATTATAAACACATCTTATTACAGTATTATAACTAAAAACTGTAGAAGACTGGAGAAAATAAGAACATTAATAAGAAGTTGATCTTTTTTTTATATTGCAACATAAATAAAAATATTTACCAGATGCAGCGGAATATGTCTAACTAAAATGTTTCTCTCTTGTCGATCTTGTCTTACAGGATATGTTCTAGCTGCACGTAGAATAGAATTGCCACAGGTAAAACATATACTTCTATGACCAAAAGCAGGCAATCCTTCAAGAATTGTGTTTGCTTGATCTTGAAGCAGTGTCAAACACTCTGTACAAAGCACACATTCTGAAGACAACTGCAATAAATACCATGAATTAAAAAGTGTGTTTTTAACCTTTTTGACATTATCTGTATTCTGTAACTATAAGTAAGTAACTTGTAAATATGCAATCAAGAGTAAAGCCTTTTTGGCCTCAAACAGGTTCGTTTTTTGTTAATCATTTGTTATTGCCTGTGCTGTCTAAAATAAATATTTCTTTAATTCTATAAAAATGTTTTGTAAAGTACGATGGTAGAGATCTGACATTCTTAGGTATATATTCAAAGAGTAAAATAAGATCTGCTTACCTGAGTAGGAGTTATCCATGACTGTAACAAATTAATCATTGAAGTAGATGCTTGTTCCAATGAATGTATTGGTAGGTTTCTGGGTATCAAAAATGAACAATTGATACATCGTTTGTTATGCCGGGTGACTGACGGTGTCAATCGGTCGACTCCACGACTCGACATATTTGCACAATTAAATATACAGAAAAAAAGTTCACAAAATACTGACAAGTTCTACTTCTCAACACACAATTCAATAACTAACTAATCTCAACTCTCAAAACACAGACAGTTGTATTTGTTAGAACAAAGATATGGCGTGGTCAGCACAAAGGTCAGATTCAGATGCATTTTAAACGTCATTTATAAGATTTTTTATTTAACTGGTTTTACGGTTCTGGTGTGTAAGTGTATAACCAGTGCGTGTTGCCAGTGATGACTTACGGATCTGAGACGTGGTCCTTCACCGCTGGCCGTATGAGGACACTCAAGGTCGCTCAGCGAGCTATGGAGAGGGCTATGCTCGGAGTTTCACTGCGTGATAGACTCAGAAATGAGGATATCCGCAGTAAAACCAGAGTGACCGACACAGCCCAACGGATTAGTAAGCTGAAGTGGCAATGGGCCGGCCATATAGCTCGAAGAACCGATAACCGATGGGGAAGAAAGGTTCTCGAGTGGCAGCCTCGTACCGGTAGGCGTAGTGTAGGGCGACCGCCCACTAGATGGAGTGACGACCTGGTAAGACATGCAGGAAGTCGATGGATGAAGGTGGCTCAAGACCGTGCTTTGTGGCATTATTTGGGGGAGGCCTATGTTCAGCAGTGGACTTGTGAAGGGCTGTAATGATGATGATGATGATGACGGATCTGGGTTCTAGCCTTACGAAATCTTCAATTTTATATATTTTTTAAAACCGTATGTATATTGTTTTAAATGGAGCATAAAGCGGTTGAGCTGTCGTCAAAATCTTCTATGAACTTCGCAATGTGACGCATCAGCATATTGTGAAGAAAAAATATATAAAAATGAAGATTCCGAAAGATATAATACGCTCAGAAGGGCTAGGCTCCGGAGCCGTAAAACCAGTTAAATAAACATAAAAAATAATACAATATCAATATGCATACTTTTAAACTCAAAAAAAAAAATTCCCTGTTCAAAAATGAAATTCTCGGACGCGTAATACCATAAAAAATTAGGACACTAATTACTATTAAAATTTAGTCTTGATGCGCGAGACTTTTTGGTACCACTTTTGGTCATTCTCCTTTCAGTGCCTCCCTCGCATATACAATGGGCGTGCGCTTTCTAGTGAATGAAATGGTTACAAACTTGGTCTTGTGTCAAAATGTAAACAGCTATTCTTGCTTCATGCTACCTAGTATTGTTAATGCTTTTTTATATTATGCAGTGTTAAATGTTTTAAAATACTTGCGGAATATTTTACTAAGATATTTATACCTACACGCATACATTCCAATAGCCTAATTAAGTAATAGTCCTTCTGCGGTAATTGCAAAAACCTATTTGTTTTAACTTTTTACCAAATGAAAATTCCATAAACTTTTTAGAAGCTACAAAGACCGCTTTCGCTATGCATAATATATATAACTCATCAAAAATAAGGTATAAAGATTATATTATCTCTTATTCCTTTGGTAAAATATTTCTAACAACATAGTGCCTATTTTAAAGTCCCTATTCTCAGCTTAAAGGTGTAAGTAACCAACAGAATGCGAAACTAAAAACTGGTGAGTGGAATCCGCTCTTCGACTTGTTAATAACTATTCCTAACACAAACAATTACATTATTGTACTTTTTATAGGATAAGAATGACAAAAGAGCACACAGTCCACCTGACAGTAAGTGGATGCTGTGGCCCATAGACATCTACATCTATCCTCGATTAAGAATTAAAATGCAGATGCGTTGTCACCAGTGAGGACTAAGATGGAATGCCTCGATTCCAATAAAACGGATCTTCAGTTTTTTACACCCACCATACGAAACACAGCAGCATAAGCTGCTATTCTACGCTGGTAGTCTGTGAGAGCGTGGTCCTTCCCCGGTCGAGCCGACCCATTCATGTTACAACAATAATATAGCTGTAGCGTGGGTCTACCACGTATATTATACTTTATTAGTAGTATAAACCGCATGGTAGTCAAATTATTAAAAAAATAACAACATTTTTTTGTTTTCAAATTGACAGTAAGCGGCCGACCAATAAAACAATTACATTTATGATATTATACCAAGATACCTTTATTATTACTGTTAATATATACATATAAACTACAGACTCCAAGCTAAAAATCTTTAATTATTTTAAGCATCTTTTTTACTTAAAGAGAATGGTTGCTGGGTTAAACAAAATTTCAGAATCCCGATGAAAAATCTTTGAAACCCACATAAATGTATTCGCTATATAAACAAAATCAAACCATTTTTAAAACCAGTGATAGATAGAACCATTGATAATACAGGTATTTTAAATTATATATTATACATTAATTGTATTTGTTAATTAATAGGTAATTATAGTAGTAATATATAAAGTCCTATGTTTATCATAATATCCACCTTTTCATCGTTACTGCGTAGCGACAGTTGTTACGGCGGCGGCTGTGTGCATCTTGTCAATGTAGCTGCGTCAACTCATTACGCTGTCGTGACACAGTATTTGTTGTAAATGTATTACTTACATTGTTATGAGTGATTTTCTTAGTGACAGACGATTATTATTTTTGTATATATATATATATATATATATATATATATATATATATATATAGATCCGGGAGGAAAACCGGCGACGAGGATCGCCACCCGTAACGTTCTGTCTCCCGGAGAGGCGAAAAGTGGATTGCAGCGGCCCGTTTGGCTACGTTGAATGTATGTGGGGCAATGAATGATAAAATGGATGAAGTATGCGATATGATGTATGATAGAGGAATAGATGCGTTATGTGTAAATGAGACGAAAAGGAAGGGGAAGGATGTCACTACACATGGCATGTATACCGCATACTGGTCTGGTGTAGACGAGATCGAGCGGGCATGCCAGGGAGTAGGTATCATCATTTCAGAAAGAATGGGCCAATGTGTGAAGGAGTATGAATGTGTAAGCCCAAGACTGCTATGGATACAAATGAAGTGGGCTTAAAGAAGTTGTTTGTGTTAGGGGTCTACGCCCCAGACATGTCTAAGCCCACTTATATCCGAGAGCAGTTTTGGGAAATGGTAAGGATGGTGTTAATGAAGTGTAAGGGAAATGAAAATATTATTATGCTAGGAGATTTTAATGGAAGGGTTGGGGTGAGGAGGCTTGGTTATGAAAGGATATTGGGAACGTTTGGTGATGAAAGTATAAATGAGAATGGTGAAGTCTCTTCACCGTATGTATGGAAAAGAATCTTTTTGTGACGAACACTTGCTTTCGCCACAAGACGATTCACATGTATACTTGGGAAAGAGGTGACGATAGAAGCATAATAGATTTCATAATTGTGGATGAAAGATTGAGGGGCGCAGTGGTAGATACAAGGGTTTACCGGGGTTCTAACGTAGGAACGGATCATTATTTGGTTTTAAATGGTCTATTCAGGCGTTGACGCCATCGATCATCTGTGTCTACCACTGCGTTACAGCGTATTAGAATAGAAAGGTTACAAGATGAAGGTGAGGTATAGTATAGAGGTATAATATATATATATATATATATATATATATATATATATATATATATATATATATATATATATATATATATATATATATAATCGAAATAAAAAAATGATATACCTATTATATTTACACGTTTTAAGCTTATAGTCTTTACTAAATTTATTTTAAGATTTCTTTAAATTTGCGTCTAGTTTAATTTTTCACTATAAATTTTTCATAAAAAGTTGCAATACATTACTGAGCGTCGAGCAAAATAGTAAATGCACTCACGTTTCCACATAAATTTGACACTTTATGGACCTAAACCGCTTTTAACGGAATCATTTCCACGAAAATAGAACGGCCATATCCCATACGTTATCTAAGGCTCTAAAGGGAAACATGTTCACGTTCTGTTCATATAGTTACGGTTTCTCATCAAATTAATTAAGTAAAGATTAATTTAAGTCAACTATTTCTGAAATAATTGTTATCCAATCAAGTGGAAGCCGTTGTTAGACTTTTCTGGTCCTTCGTTTCTCCTAATATTACAATATACGCGCTGTTGGATGTGTTCGCTTTGTAATATACCGTGTAAGAATATGCACTACTGAATAAAACTATTATTTACGGATTTAATCGCGTTTAATTCAACTTTAATTTATTTTTATTATCTCGACGTTTCGGGTGCTTTACAGCACCCGTGGTCACGGGGGGGGGACTGAGATGTTTGACGTCCCAATGTCATAGTTAGTTCTGCTACCTTGAGTTTTTGAATATTAATTTTTGGTCCGATTTGCGCAAAATGAGCTTATAGTATCATGAAGTTTTGCAGTGGTATGCTTGGGTTTGGGTTTAATTTTGTAAATTATAGGATCCCAAGCAGCTGGCAGCACCCATCCATCTTCTCTATTGAAATTTGGATGTTTTTAATTTCAATAGCCTCGCGTATCATCCTTAGGTAGGACTCGGTGTTCTTTTGCGAGGGTTTGTGGTTTATCCAATCTAATGTAATGGTGGGGACGATCTTGAACATGTTCGCAGACTGCAGAATTCCCGGAGCGTCGGTGCTTCACGTCAGCTATATGTGTGTATATAAACCCGTGTGAAGGAACATATAGCTGACGTGAAGCACTGACGAATTAAATTAAAGTTGAATTAAACGCGATAAAATCCGTAAATAATAGTTTTATTCAATGTGTAGTGTTCTCGTAAATTTAAGAAATCATAATATCCACTACTCCATATCATCCCGTGGGTGTCGTAAGAGACGATAGAGAGAAACAAATCAGAAGCTGGGCAGCAGCGTATTCCTAATAACGAAGGGTGTCGTAAGAGGCGATAGAGAGAAACAAATCAGAATACGGG